TTTTAAGAGTTCTCCACACTGCTTTCCATAGGGGTTGAACAAGCTTGCAGCCCCACCAGCAGTGGATGAGCATTCCCCTTTACCCATACTCCTCTCCAACATTTGATATAATTTGTTCTCTTGATCTTAGCCAGTCTGACTGGGGTAAGATGAAATCTTAAAGTGGTTTTAATTTGCATTTCCCTAATTACTAATGATGTTGCTGTCTTTTTTAAACATCACTGTAATGTGGCTTTAAAATGCCCCACTTTTTCAGAAAGAATCCACCTATGTTTGTTTCATTTTTACTTCTACTTCATGTACTAATCAGGTGATTATTACCTCCAAAAGTACAATCATCATTTACTTAGCATTTATTGTGTTCCAGATCCTATTTATCCTCTTAACTAACTTTAAAGCCAAGAGATTATCTTCATTTTACACAGGAACTGAAGTTCTAAAGGTTAAGTTACTGTCCAAGATCATACAGTTTAAAAGCCTCAGAATGTGAATTCGAATCAAGAGAAGTATGGCTAGGAGCCCTGCATTCTCTGAGGCCAATCCCTTGAGCTAAATTATTTTACATATTCTGCTAAATCAAACATACCATAGATGTTATTATTCCTACCTTACCACAGAAAAGAGAATACAGCAGTTAAATAACTTTATTCAGGGTGAAGAATTAATTTGGGCATAAAAACAGTATAAACTTTATTAAGTGTGATCAACCTTTTGACATTATGACATGCTGTTTTCATCTGCAAAGTTCACACAAGAGAACCATGCAATGGAGTTACAAAAATAATTTCATAATTTTTTAAAATGTACGTGTAGATGTATATGTGTGTCTGCATGTGTGTATGCCATGTATATGCTGGTTCCACAGAAGCTAGAAGAGGGTGTTGGATCCCCAGGAGCTGGAGTTACGGGCAGCTGTGGACTGTTCAACATGGTTTCTGGGAACCAAACTCTGACCCTCTGAAAGAGCACACATGCTCTTAACTGCTATGCCAGCTCTCCAACCCCAATGTTCTAAGTAATTTTGCAGTTTTGTATTGGGCACATGATTGGGCACAGATTGGATATGGCTGGCAGTCCATCAACTTCGAAGCCCACTTTGCATGTATGTCTCCCAGAGTCTGCACAGTCAATGACACCAGGGTCAATAAGTTTAAATCCGTCCTTGTTCTCAGCGAAGTGCAGTCCTTGATGAGGCTTTACATGGGAGTGTGTGTACATGTGTGTAAAACGAGGAAACTCTTGGATCCTGAAGCAGAGGACTAAATTGCTTGTATTCATCTTTGCAGAATTCCTGAGCCTAGTGCTTCTCAGTTTTAAAAACATAACCATTATTTAATGAGTCTGGGTTTAAAATTCAAATACTTATTGCTTGTCCATTCCAATAAGCAATTATGAACTCTTTCCAGATATCTTGGTTTAGATTCTTCAAATCCTGTCATTTATCAAGCAGACATTAATGTCCAATGCAAAGCAAAATGGAACGTTTACTAATTGATGAAATAGGCCACAGACAAATATCAACTTGTCAATACAAGTTTTTAACTTTTGTTTTTTACATAATTCCAAACATACAGAAAAAGTAGTTAAGAAAAAACAAACACATACCTGTACCCAAAATATCTACTTAGTAACATTTTTGCCACTTTGACACCAGGGTCAATGAGTTTAAATCCAGTTCACACCTTTGGATTAGAAAGCTCATTGGAATCAGTCAAATCCAAAGCCTGAATAAAAGTTCAGTGCCAATACAGCCCTAAATCTCCAAAGTAGTCAGGCCTGACCTTGAACCTGTGACCCTCTAGCCTCTGCCTCCAGAGGGCTGAGAGGGCAGAGATGGACTAGCACAACCAGCCTAGGGTGCTTTCTAAAGGAGGATTACTCTCATGGTCTTTTTAAAAATAGTTATTGTCAAACTATATTTCATAAAAAATTGATAACAAAGAAAAAGAATCCTACTTCAAAATGGTAATCAAATACCAGTCAAGGCCCTCCACCATCTAGCAACTGCAATCACCACAGCTGCATTGAGAAATTTCTATTGTAACATGTGAGTTTCCATTTCCTCTGGCAATAATAGCCACACATTTCATTTTCAATATTTGGCATTTCACAATGGTAGAAAAGGCCTCTAGTACCCCAAAACCTCCACATTTGGTTCCACACATACTGCTAAGTGGCTCTGAAAGGTCAGCTAGTTATAACCATGCTGGTTGTGCTTTAGCTGTGAGATGAAGGCTGAAAACACAGCCCTGGCAGATTCAGAACACCTGCGACCTTGTCTGAGCCACTGCCTGGGTGAGCAGCCAGATCTTGAAGTTTTCACTATGCAAACTGAGGAATGATCAGTCGGTGGACGGTGGACGGCAGCCAGCAGATGCACCACACTTCCTTCAGCTTATGGCAGGCTGCCCTCCTCTCCAGCCATGCTTTAGAAAGCCTTTGTCCCCAGCATTCACTGAAAATACATCACAGGTGCCTTCAGTAAATATCTGTCAGGGAGGTCACACTGTAAGACTGCTGCAGCTCACTCTTGCTGATGGGCTTCCAAGGGTAAAATAGTACAGACCGAGTCTTCTCTAGCATGAGGAAACCATTGTCACTAAATCTCCCTGGGATGCTTCCGACATCCAGCCAAACAAAGGGAGCGACAGCTGATGTTTCCAGATCAAAAACAAAGATGTCACCCTGCTGAGAGATGTTGGCCTGGAAAAAAAAAAAAAAAAAAAGAAGATAAGTGAACTGGAGGAGGGAGAGCTGTCTGCGTGCAATGCCTGTCAGAATTGGTGCAGGCTTAATAAAATGTGCATTTCCTGGGACTTTGGTGTTAAGTGCTAAAGGCATATATTCCATGCAGATATGACACTTGACAGTGCTTGGAAAATGATTTAAGTGGAAAATTGCCAAATTGTCATCTCAAACCAAGGAAATACATATACTAATTATTAAGGGAAAATATCCCACAAGAACCTGAAAGCTTTATACCTTTAACAATTGTTCTCAGAATATCACAACATTTGGCACGAGGAGTGGGTGGTTTAGATGACTTTCTAGGGATTTATGACTAATCTAGCTACAGAGCCCAACCAGGAGGCTGACTTCAGTCCTCTAGACTCAGGCTTTAAGTTACAGGCCATGTTCAGAGGTCACACCACCTTCTCTTGCAGTGAAGATCCCAACACAGGCAGGGCGGGCAGGCAGGTGGGCAGGCAGGCAACTCACAGGGCTCACTCCAGCAAGCAGGGAGGCCCAGGGAAGGCCAAGGCCAGAGAGACACAGACGGGGTGGGGTGGGGTGGGGTGGGGTGCTGTCTGGGCTGCTACTTAGGTTAGGAAATCACACCTCTGGGCACCTGGCTGAAGAGATGGGGGTTGACACTTGAACTTTGGGGCTTGGGACAGACAGAACAAGTACTTACCTATATCAAACCCCCGAAAACAAATGCTAATTAACATTATTACTACCATTGTATTTCTTGAAGAGGAATAAATTTCATTGAAACACAAATGAAACAGGACAGATAAAGAAGTCCTAATTCTATCTCACCCCCAGTTATTACCAGTTAATGAAGGCCTGACTAAACAACAAAAGCTTGGCCTGTGTGTGGGGGAGGGTGGGTGTGGAGTGTGGTGTGCATAGGTATGTGTACTGAGGTCGGAGTTCAACATAAGGTGTTTTCCTAAATTGCTTCTCCACCTTTCCTTTTGAAACAAAGGCTCTTCTTGAACCTGGAGCTCATCAACCCAGCTAGACTGGCTGGCCAGCAAGCCCCAGGAATCCTGTCTTTGCCTCTCCAGTGCCAGGACCATAGGCACAAACTGCAATACCTGGTTTTCGATTTGGTTTCTGGGGATCAAACTCAGGTCCTCAAGTTTATAAGCACTTTACCAATTCAGTCATGTCCCCAGCCAAAACAAACAAACTTATTTTCAAAGTCAGAAGTTTAGAGATTATGAATTTGTCCAATATGGAGGGTTTTTTGTTGTTGTTGTTATGACTAGTTCATGCTTTGTTGCAAAAGAAAAAAAATCTATGTAAGAACATCAACTTTCTTACCTCTGTTCCATCTCAGTTTTTACAGATAACTTGGGTTTTATTATGTGAATATTTCCTTATTAATTTAACAATTAATTTGAAAAGAAAAATATGTTTTCAATTATTAGAACTTTTTTGGAAAAAAACCCCAGAGAGATTAGGCATTTCTATATTATTGTTTCCAAAGTCAGTTTTTAAAATCCCATTAAGGTAAAATGTGAAATAAATTTAAACTTGGCTAAATTAGAGTGTGAACCTTTCTGGGAAAATACCGTCAGTTACTGCACGGAGGGAATGGAAGGGACGGCTTCTATCAGCTAGACAAATACCAAGTCCACCACGGCACCATTTTTAGAAAAACATCCTGAGCGTCCCATTTTTTTCTTGACAATTATAAAGAGATTTGGTGATCAAGCTACTTTAAAGCAATAAATCAAAGAAAAATGGAGTGATCAGTAGACAGTACTTAAGTCAAAATTGGGGTGTTCCGACCAGGCTCCTGTGTTTCCCAGGCAACAGGACCCTGAGCTTGCTGCTTACCCTCAGTGAACAGGATTTCTCACTTGCAAAACCAGATCATAAGACTTCAGTTGCTTTGACAGACAGAGATCATGCAACAAAGAACCTAGAACAGAGCCTGGAGTAGGAAGGGACCAACCATCCCCAGGCCTCATATAAACCCAGTACCAAGTGGGGAGGCTGAAGTCTCAGCAAGTCACAACATGCTGGCCCAGGGGCAGGAACACCCCACAGACCACTAGGACCACAGACAAGAGACACTTACAGTGATGTGAGCCTTGACCAGTCCCACAGCATCATTCAGAGAAGACAGGAAGTGATGGTTGGTTGGGCTTGAGAGTTCCCGGTCAGCTGAAAGCTGAAAGGAAACCACACATTTTCCCCTTGTGCAATTCCCACATCTCGTCAGCAGTTTAGACACTGGCTCCTTGTAGATGGTTGCTGCCTTCCCTGCTTTAATCACAACTGGGGCAGTCACATGAGAGCACAGAGGCTTCAGGGAGCTCCATGAATGAAGTCTCACCTAGGCAGGAAGAAAACAATCAAAATGAGCATTCTTGGTTACTGGTTTTTTTTCAAAGAGATAACAGTGGTAACAGCAGCTGAACATCAGAACATCAGGACTGGTCAAGGGATGTGGAAGAGTGCTCATCCCAGCCCTGCTGAGTTCTAGCCTCAAAGCTAAGTGGCTCTGCTTCTCAGCCTCCATTTCTTCACAGAGAAAATGAAGGTAACAACAGTAATAACACTGTAAACTTTACAAGCTGTGATAAGAATTCAAAAATAATAATTCATGGAAGGCACAATACCTGGCACATTGCATGTTTTCTATCAATGTGACCTACAATGTTAGAAGCATCCTGTAAACTGTGGCCATAAAGACACACATTTTCTAAGTCTTTCTTAATTTTTACTTAAACTTGTCTAAGATGCAAGTTTATTTTTCTATATACCTATTCAGGATAGTTTTACTGACTTCAACTCTTTCTTTCTTATTTATTTATTTATTTATTTATTTATTTATTTATGTTTGGTCTTTTGAGACAGGGTCTCCTTGTAGCCACAGCTGGCCTGGACCTCACTATGTAGACCAGACTGGCCTTGACCTCACAGACATCTGCCTGCCTCTGCTCTGCCTCCCAAATACTGGGACTAAGGGCAAGCGCCACCAAACTTGGCTTTGATTCCAACTTTAACACACCATTTTCACTCTTTCTTTTTGTGAAATTTGGACCAGTCTTAACAATTTTAAGTAATATCATATTTACACAGCAGTTTACAGTTTATACAATTCCTCTTTGTGAAATTCTTTTATTAATTTTTCATAGATGATCCTAAAGGAGCAGGTTACTATCATTTTACAGTCAAGGAAACCGAATCCCAAGATAACAGCTTTGCTCAGGCCCCAAAATACATCACAGGCTTTCAGCCTGGATATTATCTGTCTGCCCTCTCACTCCAAGGACACCCTTTCCTATGTTACATACACTAACAACACTCTGGTACAAATCAATTTCTCTTTCATTTATCCTCCAAAGGGTATAATCAAACAACTAAGGAAATCATGTAAAGTCCTTTTCTATCTTAGAGACCCCCCCCCAAAAAAAATCCAAGTAACTCACAGTGAGTGTCGTGTTGTAGTCTGTGTGAAGATCTGACACACCATAGATATAAAATACATTTTTATCTTCAAAACCTACTGGTAAGAGCGGAGCGAAGAAATGCCGAGCAAAGTAATGCAGCATTTTCCACTTTCCTCCATATTCTGAAAATAGTCAAGAGCATTAGGAAACAGCAGGAACTGGCAGCAGGGTCACCGTGCACATGGCTCAGCTGGTACAGCTCAGCAGGATTTACTGGAGCTCATGTGTGAGGGGGTTGGTACCCAGGAGAACTCAGGTGTGCTCTGGGCATCAGATCTGGACACTCTACCCTGTCAACCTCACAACATCAGGCAGAGAGAGGCTGGTATTCAGAACCTAGATTCTAAAGAAAGAACAGTTCAAACACTTGATTTGAGCCCAATTTTGAGTCTAAGCCCTTTCTCAGAGTCAACCCTGCTTCCGGAGCTCAGCATATCAATGGTTTTTGGTTTGTTTTGATTTTGTTTGTTTGCTTCGTTGTTGTTGTTTTTTTCAAACAAGATGCAGGCTAACTGCCAACCCTGGATCATCCCACCTTCACTTCCTAAATGCTGGGCTTCTAGGAGTGTGGCATGACGATGGCTGCCAATGTTCTTTTCATTGCACACACATAAAGAAGGTCAGCAGCAGTGGCAGTGAATGCTCGCTGCAAATATTTACTTGTAAGAATTATCTAGACTTTAGTCTCCTTTTCCACAGGCACAAAATCTTTTGAGCAAAGCAAATCAACTGCTATGCAAAATTGGCTTTCCAAGTGAGACTAGAAGAAAACGCTCAATCCTATGACAGTCAGTAACAGTTCCTCAAACACAGTGCAAAGTTGTCAAGACTCTGGAATTCTGTGCCTTGTTCACACATCTAGTAGGTTAAACCTCCTGCTACTTTTCTGTTGCTGTGATAAAATGCCATGACCAAAAACAAGGGTTTATTAAAGCTTTTAAAGAAGAAAAGCTTTATTTTGGCTTATGGTTCCAGAGGGAGCGCCCGCAATGATGGGAACCCCGGCACTGCGGGAGCAGGAAGCTGATTGATTGTATTTTGTCCTCAGTAGGGAGCAGAGGGAACAAGTGGAAAGCGGGGCCATGCTATAAACCTCAAGGCCCTGCCCTCTGCCAGTGACGTGCTTCCTCCAGCCAGGCTCCACTTCCTAAAGGTTCTATAACCTTTCCGAACATCACCACTAACTGCAGACCAAGTATTTAACTACACGGGTACTGAATTTGCCAGCTGCACTCTCTTCAGAAAAATATAGCTTGATCATCCTATTTTTCTTGACAATTATAAAGACATTTAATGACTAAGCTATTTTGAAGCAATAAATCAAAAAGAGTAGAGTAATTACGAGACTGTACATAAAAAGTCAAAAGTGGAGTTTTCAACTAGGCTCCAGTGCTTCCTAGGCTACGGGACCTTGAGCTTGCTGCTTACCCTCTGTGAACTGGTTTTCTCATTTGCAAACTATATCACAGCACTTCAGGGTTGTTGTGAAAGGCAGAGATCATGCAATAATGCACCTAGGACTGAACCTGGAGCCCAGTGGAGATGCAGTTGCCACCACTAGGACGGACAGAGATGGGGAGAGGCAATAGAACAGACAGTGCAAGCCGTGGCGATGGAAGAATGGTAAAAACCAATTCTTTCAAACTTTGCAAAATTTTAAGTCTTAACATTGCATTCCCAACTGTTCCTACTTCCTCAAAACAGCAGCTCCTGGGAGAAGAGCCCTGTGGAGAAGCCTTGCCTACTGGATTTATGAAACAAACCAGAATTTCCTCTGGGAAACTTTTCTCCTTTGTGGGAGATGGCTCTCGAGGTAACTTAGAGAGTCTTACATCTGACATTCAGTACAGGGAATAGACTGTATAGATGTCATTCCAGAAGTCAGGCCATAAACAGCACACACTCAGGAGAAAAGGAACTCAAGGAGAAGCGCTCTGATACCCTGTTACTATGTAATAAAGCTTAGATAATAGACCAAAAATGCTAGGTGATTTCTGGCTTTGTCATTAGCTCTCTAAATTCCCAAACTTATGAGCCAAGCGAAATGTCCAGGCAGATATCCACAAACACAAAATCATACCTACAAATTAGACACAGATTTGTGTGTGTGTGTGTGTGTGTGTGTGTGTGTGTGTGTGTGGTATACATGTATTTATGCAGATATGTGCACCTATGCACATGAGTGTAGAGGCCAGAGGACAGGAGGCATTCTGTTCTTTACTCTCCTTATTTCTTTGAGGCAGGGTCTCTCATTGAACCTGGAACTAAGCTGGTGGCCAGCAAGCCCAAGTGAGCCTCCTGTCTCTACCCTCTATGGTGCTAGGGTTACAGGTGTGCAGGGTCCTACCTAACTCTTTAAATGGGTGCTGGGGCCTTGAGCTCAGGTCCTCATGGTTGTGCAGTAAATGCTTTTACCTGATCAGATATCTTCTAACCCTTAGACTAAGTGTTTTTTAAATAATCTACTAGAACCTCCAGATTCCATTAATCCATTTAGGGTATCCTAATTTCAGGCAATAAGAGGTGACAGATACATATCCCACCTACACGCTGAGAAACAGATTAAGATAATTAACTAGTTAAATGGGAGCCACAAGGCTGCCCAGAGGAGGGGAATATATAGCATGCAGCTTCTCCCTCCTACAAGTTGAGTATCTCTAATCTGAAAATCTAAATTCAGTATTTTCCAAAATGTGAAATCTTTTGAGTACCAACATAGGCCCAAAGGTAGAAAATTTTCATACCATGAAACTTCACTTCATGCACAAAAGTATTTAAAGTAATGCATAAAATTGCTTTCGGGCTATGTATCTAAGACATAAAATATAAGTGGATTTTATGTTTATTCTTGAGTTCCATCCTCAAGGTATCTCACGTGTATATGAAAATATTCCAAAATGGGGAGAACATAAATTCTGAATGATTTCTGTCCCCAAGCATTTGGGTCTCTCACCTGTTTCCTCTAACACATACAAGACTCCAGAGACCTGAGGCAGGCAGGGTCCTGCCATCACAATCTTGCATTTGGTCTACCTACTCTTCCTTGAAAAACTCACCGAGATAATTGGCATGCAACCATTTAAACAAACATTTACAAAAACTGCACTCTCTAGGCTTCAGATGTCTACAACCTCATCCACAGACAGAAAAGGCCGGAGGTGTCCGGAACTCTCTGAACCTCTGCAGCCGCACTTCAAGCACCCCGAAGGCTATTCTTCACAGGTCACCCAATTCTCATGCAGTACTCCATACTTTTCTGTCTGCTTGGTGCTGATAAAATCTGGTCAGAGAAGGTTGAGCAAAAACCTGATTCCCTACAAGAATCCTCCATTTCACAGTGTGAAGCCTACAGACTCAGATTTGCATTCAGAGCCCGTTTTCCGGTCTCACCCAAGAACAATGACCTCTTCATCCTATGGCTTCACTTCACTACTTTACCCAAAACTATTGTTCATATTATTGTAGGGATACACCCATGAGGGCCTGTTTATGTTTTGACAACATGGTGCTGATATGGATTTCTGTCATAAGCCAACATGGCTAATGCTAGACATGGGGGTAGGGGGCAATGGCTCAGTACAAAATGGCTGATGCCAGATGTCCAGGGACCCTCAAAAGTAAACACTGATGTAATCTGTTATATAACCAGTTTTGGCAAGCCACCTTTGTGTGATTTCCTATAAAAAGTCCTTGGGATAAAGGGCACACGTGCTGTTACCCTGGGCTGCCTGCCCAGGAGCTTGTGTGCCCTCACTCAGACAAAATATAACATGTTACATTTGTCAGCAGCTCCATAAATCTTTAATCTCCTGCCCCGAAAACTTGGCGTCCACAATACCAACTAAACTTTGCTTTAAATCACCTCTACTGAAGGCCAGAGACTCAGTATTACTTCCTAATTTTTAAAATATATTTTATTATTTTTATTTTATGTGTATAAGTGTTCTATCTACATGTATGTAAGTGCACTTGTGCTGTGCAATGTCTGCCAAGACCAGAAGAGGGTATCAGATCCCCTGGAACTGAAGTTACATATGGTTGTTAGCCACAATGTGGGTGCAGGGATTCAAAGCTCTGGAAGCTCTGGAAGAACAGCAAGTAAGTGTTCTTAACCACTGAGCCACCTCTCCAGCATGCCCCCCCCTTAATTTTTTTAATGCACCAAAACATTAAATGAATTCTGACTCTACTACCTTTCCCAGAGATACAGGCAGAGCATATAACAAGGATCCTGTGCACTGAAAGCAGCATCAGAGAAGGGGCACTCTCACATGTGAGTCAGTCTTCTACCTGGCTAAATTTTCCCACAAAGAAGGAAGGATGCTTGTGTCCATGCCCTTGAGGTTCTGAAAAGCCCTCTGAAATGAATTCAAAACCCTATGTGATAGGAGCTGGGGAGATGGCTCAGTCAGGGGAGTGCTTGCCACACAAACACGAGGGCCTGACCTCAGATGTTCAACACCCATGTGAAATGTGGGCATAGAGAGGCAGGTAGCTGTAATCCCAGCACCTGGGAGGCAGAGACAGGGGACTCCCTGGGACTTGCTCACTGAATTGGTGAGCTACAGAGCTCCAAGTTCAGTGAAAAAAGGAAGGTAGAGAGCTGAGGTAGCACTCTGGAGGCAGAAGCAGGCAGATCTCTGAGTTTGGGACCAAACTGGTCTATACCATGAGTTCCAGACCACCCAGGACTACATAATGAGATCCTGTCTCAAATAAAACAAAAATAAATGAATAAGTGGAGAATGACTGAGGAAGACGCATGATGTCAACCTCTGGCCCGTGCACACATATGTGCACATACACATGTATCACACACACATGCACGCACAATTCTATGCAGTAACTCCGCCACACTCCTGGGATCTCTGTACTTGAATTATGTCTTGGTAGCCTGCTATGACTTTGCCCAGCCCAGGACTCATAGACACCTCAGGCTCACGAAGAGACTGTCAGGGCCAGCTAGGTGACTAGTTCACAGAGCAGGTTTGGGAACAGCCTCTTTGGGGCCAGTTCTCCTTGGAGTAATCTAATCCCTCAGGCTCTGTGTTTTCTCAGTCCCTCTCCCACACAGATATTGCTTCTCTCTCACACAAAGAACACTGAAACACTTACCTAGAGAGGCCCAGGAAGGAGCCTGCCAGATATCATTCAACTGCCAATAAAGGGCCCCCATAGTGTGGCCTTCTCCACTCGATATCTTTATCTCGCTGCGGCTGCGCAGGTAGAATTCAGTCTCTGTTTTGACACACTGGGCCTGCATCACCTGATTTAGGAAAACATACACACTGTTGCTATTGTTTGATGTATTCTGTTAGGTCTCAGAAAATTACAGCTTGGGTATTTTGTTTTGCTTTTTTAGAGCAAATAAGAAAAACTGGAGAACTGGTTTGAATTTGGATACCATTCTTTTACTAAATCTAGAACTAGCACCTTAGCATGAGAAACGCCATTTCTACAACAGGATTTGTCTGGGAGACTGGGTATTTTATTTGTTGTAGCAGCAGGTAACAAGGGAAACAGGATCATGTAAAAGTCAATAATGGTGCAGGAAATAAAGGAAAACAAAGACTATCATTTCAGAAAAAATGCTATGTGTAGTCAAATATTAGGGTTTTTTTTCAACAATTGATTCTGCAAATACAGTTGTTTTTTAAAATATTTTACTTACTATTTTTATTTTATGTGCATGCATGTATTGCCTGCATGTAGGTAAGTGCACCCATATCATTCAATGAATGCCTGTGGAGGACAAAAGAGGCTGTTGGATCCCCTGGAACTGGAGTTATGGACAGTTGTTAGCTGCCATATGGGTGCTGGGATTTGAACCCAGGTCTTCTGAAAGAACAGTTAGTGTTCTTAACCACTGAGCCATCTCTCCGGCCCCCAGATTCTGCAAGTACACTTGTACCTATTTTTAAATTTTTTATTAGAAAAAAATCTATAAGAAAAAAACGTGTGACTGGAGAGATGGCTCAGTGGTTAAGAGCACTGGTTGCTCTTGCAGAGGACCCAGGTTTGATTCCCAGCACCCACATGGTGGCTAACAACCATCCATAACTCCAGTTCCAGAGGATTCCGATGCCCTCTTCTACATCCACAGGCATTGCACAACACAGACACACTTACATACATGCAGGCAATACACTCATACACATAAAATAAAAATAACAAACAATTTTAAAAAAGAGAGACTGGCCCACCCAAGACTCTGGTGAGTCAGATCCCATCCACCATCTGCATTCCATTCCTCTACAGCTTCAGCACTTACAATCTACCCCACCTCCACCCTGTGCCCTGCCAGCCTTGGACCCAGGCCTGCTCCAGTTCCTCTACCCCCAATCTCTGGACTAGCTTCCTAACCCAGACCGGCTAAACCCACTGGCATAGATTGCTAAATCCCTCATCAAGTGTCCCTAGCTCCATCTTCCCCCAGCTGGAGATCTGCCTGACAGATTGGCCCACCTAGGACTCTGCAAAAAGCAACAAAGCTACATAAATAACATAAACAGAACCAAAATTCAATGAAGCAAAGGCAGAAGTTCCTAGCGGACACACAACCAACAAAGAACATCCATATGCACAAAAGGCAGCACAAAGAAACCAACAAATTATATGAAAAACTAAGAGACTATGTCCCCAACAAAATCCCCTAGTCCTACAGAAGTGCACTACAATGAGAACCACCCCAAGGAACCCCAGGATGCAGAATTTGAAAGAACAATCACTAACATGTTCAAAGAATTTAAAGAACACACACACAAACAGCTCAAAGAACTCAAACAGGACAGGCATAAACTTGTGCCTGAAGCTCAAGAAAATAGAACTATGCAGCTGAATGACATAACAAAAACAATTCAGGACTTGAAAAGTGAATTCACAAAAGAGACAGGAAAACATTGAAGAAAACCCAAGTTGAAATGAAGATGGACTTGAAAAACTCAGTAAGTCAATTTAAATAACAGGAGACAGTCTCACAAGCAGAATGAATGAAATAGAAAACAGAATATGAAGACTGGACAACAAAGTCAAAGAACTGGACTCCTCAAGCAAAGACTATGAAAAACCTTTAAAAACACAGGAATGGAATACGTAGAAAATGTGGGACACCATGGAAAGACCAAATCTACATGTCATAGGCATACAGGAAGGAGAAGAATCTCAGGTCAAAGAAATTGACCAGATCTTCAACTGGAGAATTAAAAAAAACTTCCTCACATTAAGGAAAGATATACCCATAGAGATACAAGAAACACATCAAACACCAATTAGACAGGGCCAGAACAGAATCTCCCCATGGCATATCATAGTAAAAACACTAAATTTACAGGAAAAAAAAGAAAAAGAGGGTACTGAGAGCGCTAGAGGAAAAACAGTAAGTTACCTATAAAGGAAAACCTATCAGAATTATAGCTGACTGGTTTTGTTGTTTACTTGTTTGTTTGTTTGTTTGTTGTTTTTTAGAAAGGGTCTCCATAGTTCCAGCCCACCTGGAAGTCACTATGTAGACCAGGATGGCCTCAATCTCACAGAGATCCACCCGCCTCTGCCTCATGAGAGCTGAGATTAAAGGCATGTGCCACCACTTCTGAGATAACAGTTGACTTCTCAAGGCAAAACATGAAAGCCAGAAAAGCCTGAATAAAATATTCCCAGTTCTAAATGACCATAGATGCTAACCCAGAATACTTTACCCAGAAAAACTGTCTATCATAGTTGTAGGGAAAGAAAAATCTTGCATGACACAAATAGAATGAATTCATGTCCACCAAACCAGCCTGTATTAGTCACTTTTCTGTTGCTGTGATAGAAACACTAACCAAAGCAATTTATAGAAGGAAGAGTTTATTTGAGCTTATGGTTCCAGGGGAATTACAGTCCATCATGGCAGGGAGGCATGGTAGCTGGAGCAGGAGCAGCAGAACCTAAGCTCTCACATCATCATGCAGGCACAGGAAGCAAGAGAGCAACTGGAGATCCAGCAAGAAGAATTCTTTAAGCCCACCCCCAGTGACGTGCTTCCTCCAGGATAGCCACACCTTCTAAGACCTCCCAAAACAGCACCATCATCTGGGGATTAAAATGTCTAAATACTCGGAGCCTATGGGGGACATTTTCATTCAAACCATCACACAGCCCTAAAGAGAAAGCTCAAAGCAAGATAAAGGAATGAGGATAGGAATGAGTATATCCAAGTGGTTACAGAAAAAAAAAGGAAGGTATAATTACAGAAAAAATAGGATCAAGAACACAAACAAATTAAAATGACAGTAACCAATACACATCTTTCAATAATGATATTAAATATCAATGGCCATAACTCTCAAGTCAAAAGAAAACAGGCTAGTTGAATGGATTAAGAAACAAAATCCAGCCAGGAGTGGTGGTGCACACTTAGGAAGCAGGGGCAGGTGGATCTCTGTGAGACTGTGAGATTGCAGCCAGCCTGGTCTGCATAGCAAGTTCAGCCAGCTGGGACTACAGGGAGACTCTGGCTCAAAAAGACCAAAAAAAGAAAGAAAAAGAAAGAGAAAGAACAAAAGAAAGAAGGAAAGAAAGAAAGAGAAAGAACCAAAATCTAGGGGACTGGAGAGATGGCTCAGTGGTTAAGAACACTGCTCTTCAGAGCACCTGGGTCAGAATCCCAGCACACACAAGGTGGCTCAAAACCATCCATAACTCCAGTTCCAAGAGATTCAACACCCTTTTCTGACCTCTGTGGGCACTGCACTACACAGGTGCACTTACATACATGCAGGTAATACACTCATACACATAAAATAATAAAAAAAAATTTTTTTAGTCTCTTTTAAGACAGGGTCTCTCTGTAACCCCAGGTGGCATGGAACTCATTATGTAGACCAGGCTGGCCTTGAACTCACAGAGATCTGCCTGCCTCTGCCTCCCAAGT